ATAAATTTAACCCCTAAAAATATCCAAGAAATCAAAACAAATGTTCAGTTTAATTGGGTCACAACAGTTTGGCGACACTTGGGTGTTTTTATACCTCTTGATTTCAAGATGCTTCACTCATAATTTCTGTAAAGTATATAAGAAAGTCAATGCACAACTGAAAGCATGGGATAAACTGAAGTTATCATGGTCAGACAGATTGTATCTAACCAAAAGTTTTATTTTACCCAAATTTACATTTTTATTTAGAACTCTGCCAATAGAGATAATGGCTGCAACCTTTAAAACATGGCAAAAAACATTAAATAGTTTTTTCTGGGCTTACAAAAAACCTAGGATGAAGTAAATAATCATAAAACCAACCCCTTGCGACCTGTTTGCGAGTCATGCCATGTGCCAATGCCTCCAAAGGACTGTAGCTGTTCTGACAGCTGCTACAGTCATTCACACAGAGAACTCCCTTTTGGTCCTCTCACTGCTACCTATTCATTAATCCCCTCCCCCCAACAGCATCTGGCTTCACACAGCAGCAAAAGTCACAGTGACTCTGAACAACTGCTGAGTGGTGTGACCCAATGCACAAGAGAACATGATACAAGTCCTACTGGAACAGGTCAAGGGCCAATCTAGTCCTGCCCATCCAAATGCCTCCAAGAAGCCTACAAATAGGATACGAGGGTAACAGCAATCTCTTGTACTATATCTGGTACTCAGAAATACAGTGCCATTCACATGACACGAACATATGACCCCACGTGTTGGAAGAACTGCGGCAACAGGGGCACGCATCTGCATTGCTGGGTTTGTTGTTCAGTCGCACAGTCGAGTCCGACTCTTCGCGACCCCATGGATCATCTCCCGCCAGGCCCTCCTGTCTTCCGCCGTCCTCTGAAGTTGGCTCAATTTCATGTTCGTTGCATCAATGACACTGTCTAACCATCTCATCCTTTGCCGTCCCCGTCTTCTTTGACCTTCAATCATTGCTGGGTATCCTGCCCTAAAATATTACCATTTTGGGAAGCTGTACTGAATCAAATCAAAACGATCCATAACATAAATATAACACTGACCCCAGAAAACTTATTATTTTTCAAAACTCTCGGATAACCTTGCACCCTTTGATAAGATCCCTGCTCCTTCCTCATTTACAGCAGTCTGGTTCCCTCTCTTAGAATATCTAAATCCATTTGAAGACACTCCCAAAGAAATTGACGCTTTACAATTGTGGTAAAAAGTATCTTATTATCCTAAGTATAGACACTCAGTTAAAGTTATTGCTCAAATATCTCCATAACAATGTAAGGATATATGTTTTACTTGGAATTCTAAACTATGTATCTCCTTTATATGTGTTTATATGCGACAAACAACTTGCTTAGCACAACGAGTTATTCTCTAAACAATACTTGTCTAATGTTCAAATTATGTTTGTACACCTGTTCATGACAGCTACACGTTTTGTTCAAATTTCCACCAACTGTTCATTTATTGATATATCCAATAAAATATATTGTATATGAAAAAAGAAATACAGTGCCATTGAACATGGAATTTACATATTGCTACCATGGCTAGCAGTTCGAAAGCAAGAAATTGCAAGTAGATAAATAGGTACCACTTTGGTGGGAAGGTAACAGCATTCCGTGCGCCTTGGTGTTTAGTCATGCTGGCCACATGACCACGGAAACGTCTTCAGACAGCGGTGGCTCTTCGGCTTTGAAACGGAGATGAGCACTGCAACCCTAGAGTCGGATTCAACTGGCTTTCGAGCAATTCATAGGAAAATGCTATGCATAGGGTAAGTGGCTTCTGCATCTTTAAGAATTGTTTAGAAAAAGGCATTTGGCAGAGGTGCAGCTTGTCACATGGGAGCAAGAAAAGAAATGCTTAATGAACTTGCATGTTCTGCACAATTGTTAAAGGAATGGGGTACATCTAGGGATTCCCAGTCACCTGCTGCTTCGGCTCATGTCCTGTTCATCAGTTGTAGAAAGGGAGCCAGTTTTTCAATGAACTGTGTGTTGGCCCATTCATATTCTGCAAGTTGCTTCCTTCCTAATAGTGCAATCAGCTTTTCATGCATATGTGTTCTCGCACAGCACAATGGAGTTCTTCTTTCCCTCCTCCACTTGACAGGTGATCGGTTAAATAAATGGTTTAATCATTACAAATCGTATAAGTCGCTCACAAATTAATGCTTTATTCACACAAAATCCTACTGTTGGCCATTCATCTTAGCAGTCCTTGGTAGCAATAATGGCTGCCGAGCTGTTTGGATTGGCAGCGTTTTTCACACTTGCCCTGTTTCGAAAATACCTGGGCCAGTGCAAAAGAATATGCTACCAATGGAAACAAGCCCAGCAGCCATTTGTGTTACTAAGGACTACTAAGATGAAACTGTTCTGCGGGCATTCCAGTTGGTCAGTGCCAAACCGGACAGTCCTGGTGATGGCCTAATGTCCAATAGGCACAGTGAAACAGGGTAAGTTCGACTTGAAATTCACAGCATCCCTAGTTACATCTGGTCAACTTGGGGGGGGGGCTGGCCATTAAGTCCTGGTGGGCTGATGACATTGGAGCTACTCTGCCCTGCCTGAGGAAGGATGTACTTGACCCTGCCAAGCAAAATCCCATGCAGCACCTCCCAGCACAAGCCCTGTGTGGAAACGAGGCACCTGACCAAGCCTGGCACAGAGCTAAGTAGGTGAGGTCTTTCTCCCTCTGTCTACATTTGGGGGTGAGGTATGGCCCCTAGGGGTAGCAGATGTGTTCTGAGGG